AAAAAAAAAAAACAGAAAATAAATGTTCGAGAGGCTTTGGGGAAATGGGAACTCACGCACTGCTGGTGGAAATGCAAAATGGTACAACCATTTTGGAAAATGATATGGTGCTTCCTTAGAAAGCTAGAAATAGAAATACCATATGATTCAGCAATATCATTCCTTGGAATATATCCTAGAGAAATAAGAACCACCACATGAACAGATATATGCACACACATGTTCACTGCAGCATTGTTCACAATAGCAAAAATATGGAAACAACCTAGATGCCCACCAACAGATGAATGGATAAACAAACTATGGTACACACACACAACGGGGTACTATGCAACGATAAAGAACAATGATGAATCTGCGAAATATCTTACAACATGGATGAATCTGGAGGACATTATGCTGAGTGAAATAAGTCAATCACAAAAAGGACAAATTTTGTATGAGACCACTACTATGAAAACTCATAAAAAGTTTTACACACAAAAAGAAACCATCTTTGATGGTTATAAGGGATGGTTACGATAATTATGGGAATGGAAAAACACTAAATAGACAATAGATTTAAAAAAAGAAGAAATATAAACTACTATGAAAACTAAATATGGCCTGAAATGATACTGACAGAGCATCTATCCTTCTACCTATCTTCAGTATTTATACTTCGCTCATTATTTAAATTAAATGAGATAATGTATGTGAAGTGCCTTGTAACTCTAAAATGAAATGCATGTATTAATTACATTTATTACCACATTTTTTGGAAATATTTAATATATACATGAGAATAAATGGATACTGTCATTTCCTTATACTCAACACTATGGAATGGTTATTTATTTTCAGTTTTTTAAGAAAATGGGGTCCTAGTGGCGCAGTGGTTAAGTGTCTGGCTGCTAACTAAAAAGCCAGTAGTTCGAATTCACCAGCCGCTCCACAGAAACCCTAGCAGGGAGTTCTACTCTGCCCTATAGGGTGGCTATGAGTCAGAATCCACTCTATGGCAACAGATTTGTTTTCTGGTTAAGAAAATGAGTTAGTTTAAGAATACATATTATTTTAAATTAGAAGAAGCACAAGATATGTCTCATTTCCATGTTAAAACTGTACAATTCACTATAAAAAATCAAAGTACTGAGGTGCCACGGATTGCTTTTGTGTGGCCTTTCTTGCTATGGTCTTGTAACTCCCACCCAGGTGATTGGGCATGACTGTGCAGACATGGTAACTGTGGCCCACCAAAGGGACCATCCCACTGAGCTTGAAATGGGCCACCCCACGAGCGGGGAAAGAAAACTGCATTGAGACGCTCCTGGAAGCAGGAGACAGAGATAGAGAGAGCTGTAACCCTGAAGACAGTGAGCAGTGGCAGCAGGAGAGACTCGGCAGCAGAGACCCAGCAGCAGAGACCCAGCAGCAGGGACCCAACAGCAGGAGATGGCATGCTGGGCTTCCCAGCCCACAGACAGAGAAAGCTGAGTGCCTCTGGGCAGAGACTGAGGCCAGGGAGAGGTGTGCCTGCAAGCACCGCTGGGAAGAGGCTGTCCTGATGGAAGAACTGTATCCTGAGTGTTCCTGAGCCTGAACTGTAACCTGTTACTTCCCTAATAAACCTCATAATCCTGAGTACGGTCTGTGAGTTCTGTGTGGTCATTGCAATGAATTACCTAACTCAGCAGAGAAGTACAGAGTGCCATGGGAGGGATGGCTGGTGTCAGAATTAGTAAAGATGGTGGAGAGAGGAGACATGTCTGACCTCCATCTCAAGGGAATCAGCCTTGGGCTGTTCGTCTTGATTCTCCTTTCCCCTTGTTTAAAGTTAGAGGTCAGATACTGCCCCCATGCCGTTTTTAAAAGTACAAACTTAGAAAATCAGGAGGCATACAAGTAATGTAAAAATTATTTCAAGGAAAATATTGGTTATCTTAGAATCAAAGATTGTTACACATTGGCACACAGTTACGCAAAGAGCAGTGGGGCATCTTTATGTAGACTACTTAAGAACGATAAAAATATACATCTTACATGCCTGAGATTCATCAAATCAGGCAAAGAGAACATTAATTTAAATGACCTCCTAGAGACTTAATTTAATGAATAATGAAGGACAAATATGTGTACTACATATCAACTCTCATTTGAGAATTCTAGTACAAATACTGCTTGTCTGAAGTAGTATAAAAGTCTACTTTAAAAATGAAACTAGTATCTTAAAAGGAAACATTTTTCATTAACTCACATGTACTGACATAATATCCATTGTCACTTATTTATATTAGTGGATCTTAAGATGTACTACTGAAAGGCACACGTGTATTATTCCACAGCTAAAGTAAAATAATACTGGTCTTTCCAAGTCAATTTCTAGAACTGTCTAAATTTAAACTGTCTCTAAGAATTTATACTCCCATAACCCATTGCTGTGGAGTTGACTCCAACTCATAGTGACCCTATAGAACAGAGCGGAACTGCCCAACAGCATTTCCAAGGCTGTAAATGTTTACGGAAGCAGACTGTCACATCTTCCTCCTGTGGAGCAGCTGGCAGGTTCAAACCACCAACCTTTCAGTTAGCAGCCGAGTGCTTTAACCACTGCACTACCTGGGCTCCCTGAATTTATCTTAGGTACTTCTCATCTACAGTAATGCTGGAAAACACAAAACAAAATAACAAATGAATATGAGTGACAAAAATGGAAAACAGTCTAGCATCTTTCCTTTGTCAGTTTTTTTTTACACTGACCCTTGAATTTCTAGTTGTGATTATATTCTATATAGTTATAAAATAATCATGTTCAGAGCTAGTCTGAATAATGGAATTACATATATTTCCCTCTAAAATCTAAATTAAAAAAAAAAATCTATAACACAGGTGGGATGGATTAGGTGATTTTATATTCCCTTCCAGTTTTAAAGTCATGTGAATTTTAGAAGGGTAGAAACAACTGGCTGACATTGCTAAGGAATTTTGAAAATGTGGAATGCAATGTTTTATCCTCTGTTGAAAACGTTAAAAGAAAAACACACTTTATAAAAAAGTTTTATTTCCCCTTTGTTGTTGTCAGATGCCACTGAGTAGGTTCCAATTCAGCAATCCTATGTACAACAGAACGAAACACTGGCCCCTACTGTGCCATCCTCACAATTCTTGTTATGCTTGATCTCATTGTAAGCAGCCACTGTGTCAGTTCATCTCGTTGAGAGTCTTCCTCTTTTTTGCTAACCCTCTACTTGACCAAGCATGATGCCCTCCTCCAGAGGCTAGTCCCTTCTGATAACATGTCCAAAGTACATGAGATGAAGTCTTGCTATCCTTGCTTCTAAGAAGCCTTCTGGCTGTACTTCTTCCAAGACAGATTTGTTCATTCTTCTGGCAGTACATGGTATACCCAATGTTCTTCACCAACACCATAATTCAAAGGCATCAATTCGTCTTCAGTTTTCCTTATTCATTCTACAGCTTTCACATGCATATGAGGAGACTGAAAATACCATGGCTTGGATCAGGCGCACCTAAGTCCTCAAGGTGACTGTATGCTTTTTAACACGTTAATCTCCCCTTTACTTAATGTTAAGTTAGTTCTTTGGTCCCACAGCACAATTATAATCTTTTCAGAAACAAAATCTCTGTCTCATATAAAATGTGAGTTTATATTATAATGTAACTCATACTTAGATATAGTTTACTGAGTATTTTTAAATCCACCACCTCATTAGATCTTCACAATAAAATATGAGATTGTTGTTGTTAGGTGCTGTCAAATCAGTTCCAACTCATATTGACCCTATGTACAACAGAACAAAACACTGCCCAGTCCTGTGCCATCCTCACAATCATTGCTATGTTTGAGCCCACTGTTGCAGCCACTGTATCAGTACATCTCATTAGGGGTCTTCCTCTTTTTCGCTGACCCTACACCTTATCAAGCATGATGCCCTTCTCCAGGGACTGGTCCCTCCTGATAACATGTCCAAAGCATGTGAGACAAAGTCTCACCATCCTTGCTTCTAAGGAGTATTCTGGCTATACTTCTTCCAAGACAAATTTATTCATTCTTTTGGCAGTCCATGGTATATTCAATATTCTTCATCAACACCAGAATTCAAAGGTGTCAATTCTTTTTTCGGTCTTCCTTATTCATTGCCCAGCTTTCGTGTGCCTATGAGGCAATTGAAAATATCATGGCTTGGGTCATGTGCACCTTAGTCCTTAAAGTGACATCTTTGCTTTTTAACACTTTAAAGAGGTCTTTTGCAGCAGATTTGCCCATTGCAATAGGTTCTTTGATTTCCTGACTGCTGCTTCCACAGGCATTGATTGTGGATTCAAGTAAAATGAAATCCTTGACAACTTCAATCTCTTCTCCATTTATCATTTTGTTGCTTATTGGTCCAGTTTTGAGGATTTTTGTTTTTCTTTATGTTGAAGTGTAATTCACACCGAAGACTGCAGTCTTTGATCTTCATCAGTAAGTACTTTAAGTCCTCTTTGATTTCAGCAAGCAAGGTTGTGTCATTTTGTATTGCAGGTTGTTAATGAGTCTTTCTTCAATCCTGATGCCGCATTCTTCTTCATATACTCCAGCTTCGCAGATTATTTGCTCAGCGTACAGACTGAATAAGTGTGGTAAAAGGATACAACCCTGACACACACCTTTCCTGACTTTAAACTACACAGTATCCCCTTCTTCTGTTCGAACAACTGCCTCTTGGTCTTTGGTATATGAGGAAGGTGGTGGTATTATCCCCAGTATACATATAAGGAAACTGAATCCCAGAAAACTCAACTGATTTCAGCAAAATCACATAGCTAGGAAGCTGAAGTGCCAGGGCTTAGATTTTTGTTTTCTTGCTCCAAATACTGTGTTTTTTTCCTCCTTTTGACAACTGAGGTGAGAAAAGGGAATTTTACATTTTGGTGAAATAAAGTAAGTGGCTACCTAATTTTGATCATTCAGTTTTCAAATACCTGTCCCAAGAACATTGGTCAGATGGACAACTCACCAAACAGAATGGAACTCTGTTGTCATTTCCTGCCCCATCAAGGTCATTCTTCTCTTCCAAGTCAAACTGGCAGCCAAACTGTGCTCTTATTAGTGTTTTCTGTTGCCAGATCTATAAAGGACGACAGTTGTATGGTGGGCAGTAACTTCTGAAATATCAGGTTGATATGAAAGGACTAGCTCATTATCGTGAGATTAACTCTACTGAAGAACTACAGACCATGTATAGTTTTTGTTGTTTGCTATAATTTTTTTCCTTGGTGGGGAGGGGAAGCAGTAACCAACAGTTTCCATCCATAAACTACCATCATAAATTTCTTGCACACCACCTACAGAAGAAGGTCATAAAATGTCTCACTACAAATGGGCAAAGTATGTTTGCCAGTCCAAGTAATAATTGTGTAAATTGAATGAATGTGAATAAAATAGGCAAAGTTTTTTATCTCCTGCTTTTTTTTAAATAGATACTTCTATTTTTCCGTTAGCCCTTTTAAGGTATCTAATCTAAAAACATCTACCTATATGTTTTTCTACCTTCCACTTTGAAGCCTAGCTTATCCTTTCCAGGAACTATCCTAAATGAACAACACTTTCCAAATGCCTTCCTGCCACCTGTCCCAATCAAAATTCACCTATCCTGTCTCCTATTCCCTGGAGCCCTGCCAAAACCTTTTCAAGAAACCAATTACCTAATTTGATATACTGATGAGCTATTTCTTGCAAAGAACTTGATTAACATTTAAAAACCATGTGTATTCCAATTCCTCATCCTGTAACTGACAACTAGAAAGTTCATACAAACAAAAGGAATTTAGAAACTCTTAGGAGAAAAACAAATAAACACCAAGCTTGAACTATTATGTACCCTAAAGTACATTAAATATATATATATATACACATACGTATATTTGATATGTTTTTACCAAGAATGAAGAGAGAAAAAAGGAGAGTCTTTTGATCACCAGTAATTTATAAATATTGTATTACAGAACTTCCAAAGACAATGGAATTTGCTTCAAAATAATCTGGGAAGTAGAGTGGCTTGAGGCTTTAGCCAAAAAATATTAACTATGAGTTGATAACTATGTAGCTGGGTGACAGACGTTCATCACCCATTTCTCTGTTGTTAGTTGCCTTTGAGTCAATTTCAACTCATGGTGATTCCATGTGTTACTAAGTAGAACACATCTCTCCACTTCTATATATATTCAAATTTTCCATATTAAAAGGAAAAAAGAAGAAGAAAAAAGTCAATCAATCAGTACAGTGGTAACGGTTATAGAAATGCAGCAAGTACAATTCAGAAGGAAATTTAAAAATGCTTGGAATAGAAAATAAGTGATCTAAAAGAGAAAAAAAACTTCCACAATGTTATGACAAAAGGAAATGCAGGTAAATTGCAAGTGGTTAAGAATATGTATAAAGTAAATTAGAAGAACTAAAAGTTTAGAAAGCACTTTAAAAGAATTTCTTAAATCTAGTAAATTTTCATTTATCTGATGCTTTTAAAGAAAAAATATTAATTTTCAAAAGAATAAGAAATTTAAGATGAAGTATATGGGTTAGCTATGGCAAGAAACAGTCTGATAGTTAAACAAAACATATGCTTCTAAATGTATCACTGACTCTAATAAAAAAGGGGGGAATAAACTCATTCCAATTGAATTGGCTTTGACTCATGGGGACCCCATGCATTACAGAGCAGAACTACTCCATAGAGTTTTCTTGGCTATAATCTTTATGGAAACATATTGCCAGGCCTTTCTTCCATGGTACTGCTGGGTGCATTCGAACTGCCAACCTTCTGGTTAGCAGTCAAGCACAAACTGTTTGTGCCACCCATAACTGCAACACACATGGCAAGAAAAAAAAAAAAAGGGCCACTTATAAGTTACCTCCAAAAGTTATTTAATAAGACATGGAATTGTTGGTACAGTATTCACTTTCTATTACTTTAAATTAGTCCTAATCATTAAAAAATATTTTTTATAAAGAGTATATTTTAATGTTAGGCTGAGATTTTTTTTTTTAGCATAAACCTATTTAAACTGATAAAAAATCAATTATTGTTTCTATTTATTTATTCAACATATATTAAGCCAGGCAGAATCAGAGGCTAGAAAGATGAATAAGGCAGAATTCTTGCCCGTAAGTTCAAGAGGAGACGTATGAAGCCTGGGAAGAGCACAAGAGATGGTCCAGGAAGACTCACAGCATTTAGAGCTGGCCAGTGGTTATCTTAGCAATTAACAAGATGGAACACAAAGGTACACTGAAATCGGGATACCAGCCATTATAGAAGAGAAAAGGAATGGGTACGTGAGTATGTCATTAATAGAATCAATTCAAGTCCAGTATCTACAATGTCCTCAAAACAGGTGCAGGACAGAAGTCTGGCAATGATTCAAAACGAAGCAGCAAAGTCATTCATTCTTTTGAACATTTATTGAAATCCAAGGAGCTCAAAGTCTACTAGAGACAGAAAGTCAACAAATATTGAGAATATTGCAGGATGAGCGCACTAGTAGATGTGGTCCAAGTAGTTTGGGTGAGTTAAGAAAGACTTCTCAAAGAAGATGACTAAACTCCATCTTGAAACATGACGAGTTTGCCAGGCAAACTAGCGGGAAAGATACTCAGGCAGAAAAAATAACATGTACAAATACAATACAGTATGAAAAAATGGAATGCAAACCATTGGTGGTCAGGAAAAAGTCATGAGAAAAGTGGAATTTAAGGGCAAGAAACTTAAAACTTTGGGAGCAAACTACAAACTCAGGTCCTGAGGAACTGAGGTTCCAAGGTCAGACCAGGGCTAACATCAACTGTAGCTCCGTGCTAAATTAGCAAGCCACCAACAAGGAAAAAAAAAACAAAACTTAAACTCACTGCTGTGGAGTCCATTCTGACTCATAGTGACCCTACAGGACAGAGAAGAACTGTCCCATAGGGTTTCCGAGGCTGTAATCTTTACAAAAGCAGGCTGTCACATCTTTGTCCCACACAGCAGCTGGTGGGTTCGAACCGTCAACCTTTTGGTTAGCTGCCGAGTGCTTAACCACTGTGCCACCAGGGCTCTCTAGTGAGCCACCACAGAGCTTCTAATTCCCTCCCTAGGTAGGATCCAGAATCTGGATCCATAAACAATATTCATCTGTTAAGGGTAGAGATTAGGCTGCAAATCCAGGCAGATCATTAAATTTTAATAAGAACTAAACTAAAACTAAAATATAGACCTAATATAATAAAGGTCTACAAAGAACTAGTGGAACACATGGTCAAGTTAAAGCCAAGTGATACTGACTACAAGTTACCTAATAATTAGTGAAATCTAAGATTTTTGGTAACATGTCTAAGAGGAATTAGTTTTTCTAGTTTTGTACTACTCAGTGTTATACACTATATGGTGAAATAATTTATCACCAAGAAAGGAGCAATAAAGATATACTGAAAGCTTGCTATGTAAAATTTATTGAGAATTTTAGGTTTGAGAAGTAAAAAGCAAAGATTAAAGAATGACCCTTAACCTCAAGTTTACAGGCAAATTAAGGAACAGCTACCTAAAAACATGAACAAATATACGAAGTGGGACAAGTGTCAGGTGAGCACCATCTTTTATTTACCAATGTACTTTTTCACTAGCTTATCCTGTGATGTTATATTCATGCCAGAAGTGATGAGGTTTAATATAATAATACTAATAAAAGGAAAAAAGCCCATTATGGAATCAGTGCTAATCGTGGCAATGAAGTAAATACTCAGAACGAGTCAATTTTAAAACTGCAAGTCTATAGGTTTTAGATCTTAATATATATATAGTCAATATCCCATGTCTTTCAAATTATTTCAAGCCCTCGGTGAAGGAATATTTCGACCACCTGAATTTACCTATTAAGAAGCACGAGTAAAAGATATCCTTCTTCAAAGTTTAGTGCATATCTGATTAGGAAATATCTGCTGTCAACTATACAAATACTAAAAGGGCTTATAAACTTCAGTGACAGTTGTTTTAGATGCAGTTTTTGGTTAATTATAGCCATAATTTTTAGTACCTTGACAGTGTTTTTCTTTTTTTCATTCTGAAATATGTTTTCAAAATATAATTTCTAAGGAGAAGTTTTGCTTTGCTTTGGTATCCCTTTTATTATTAGAATAGGGTCTTTAACAATTCATTTAGAGTCCTAGAAAAATATTTCACATTTATTTTCCTACATGTGTCTGCTTTATATGATGGCAATTTTATACTTCTGTAACAACATAATAAATTTTCAAACCTTCAGTTAAAATAAGCCATAACCAATTGCCATCAAGTTGATTCTGACTCATAGCGACCCTATAGGACAGAGTAGAACTGCCCCATAGGGTTTCTAAGGAGTGGCTGGTGGATTCGAACTGCTGACCCTTTGGTTAGCAGCCGACATCTTAACCACTGCACCACCAGGGCTCTAAAATGAGCCATACAGGTGAAACACTATTAAAAACTATAGCAGAGAAAGCAAGAAATATTAAAATTAAATACTATCCTAAGTAATGAAAACATTCTGCTTTTGCAATTAGTTTGAAGTTTAAATAACTTGCATAAGCTCTAGTGGAAAGAACATAAAATTTGGAGTAAGTCAGGCCTTGGTTTAAATCCCCAAACTGACATTTATCACTTATCAATTATTCAAGTACACTTTGTCTAAGCAATACTAAAGTGAGTAAAAGCTGTGGAATCCACCCAACTTGATGTCAAATCCCAAAGCTGCCATGTACCAGGTGTGTATCACAGGACAAGTAAGCCAGCCTTGGATCTCCTCTTCTAGAGTGTTTCCCTTGTTCAAAATATTGAGATAGTAAAAGGTACTTTCCAGAGATACTTTAAGGATTAAATGGTATAAAGTATATGGAATCACTTCATTCAATGCCTAGCACATAGGGGTACTCAATAAATGCTAGTTCTGTTCCTTGTTCCTTCTCCAAAGGCTTCTCCTAAAGCTTGCTTACAGCAATATTAATATGGTTCTTATAGTCAATGTTTGAAAAGTGCTTAGTAATTATTTTTATTATAGCTTGGGTCAAGGAAATGAACATATATGAAAAATCTTTAAAAAGTAACAAAGTCTACGCAAAATATATTTAAAGACTCGTAAAGTGATAAAATATACGAATAAAAAAAATCACCTCTGTCACTTTAAGACAGGTATATTCCTGAGAAGATAAAAATCACTTGTGATAGTAATTTCATCACTTGCCTCTAACCTTAAAGTTCTATGATGGCAGGTATCATGTCTATCCTAGTCACGTGATATGTTCCTAACACCAAGCACAGTACTAAGTACGTAGTTGATGACCAATTAATATTACTGTATGCATGAATAAATGAATTAATGTATGAATGTGCAAATCAAATAATAACTCACTTTCCCCATTAGAAAGAAGCCCTAGTGGTGCAGCAGTTAAGTGCTCGGCTGCTAACTGAAAGGTTGGTGGTTCGAACCCACCAGCCTGTTGCAAGGGAGAAAGATGTGGCAGTCTACTTCCATAAAGATTTACAGCCTTGGAAACCCTATGGGGCAGATCGATTCTGTCCTATAGGGTTGCTATGAGTTGGCATTGACTCAATGGCAACGAATTTCCCATTAAAAAGTAAGGGGCTTCAGCCTCAGGCAATCTTCTTGTTACTCATTTTAAAATCTCTGCAGTTACATCAGAGGAAAACAGGTTAGTTACCTCGCTCTCTCTTCCTAAGAAATTTCTGAGTTCCTGCAAAGTTGCAAAATCTTTTTGTGATGGGCACTGTTTGAAGGTCTTTCACACATGAAAAAATATGACCATGATTTTTCTCCTCTAATTGGAAAAATAATAATATCACTAACCTTTGTTGAATTTGTACTTTGCCCCTTTGCAGCTCTTCTGTTTCCCTACCACACACTGTTACAACAATCTCTTTGCTCTTGCAGTATCTCTTTCCATTGGGTGTCCTAGTTTGTCCTCATTTCCAGCTTTCATCATTCAAGGTCAGCCCTAATGTAATTTCCTAAGAAAATATCTCTTTCTGACCAATTTTTGCAAAATTAATGGCTCCTATCAGAGAACTGAATCTACACCCTGACTGTAAGGGGAATGATATGATTTGTCTGTCTCTTATATTAAACTGTACACTGCCCCCTAAGAATACTCTTATTCATTTTTGCATTCCAGGCACTTAACACAGTGACTGGCACAGAGTAATATTCAGAAAATATTTACTGTATCAAACTAAATCCTTTCCCTATTTATTTTTTTTGTTATAAAAGCACTCAAAATGTTAAAATTAAGTTTTAGTAAGCATTTTTAAAATAAAAAGGTGAACTCCATCTTTTATTAAAAGGAGTTCTGGTGGCACAGTGGTTAAGCACTCGGCTGCTAACTGAAAGGTTGGTGGTTTGAACCCACCAGCTGCTCCGTGGGAGAAAGATGTGGTATTCTGCTTCCATAAAGATTTACAGCCTTGGAAACTCTGTGGGGCAGTTCTACTCTGTCTAAGGGTTGCTATGAGTGGGAACTGGCTCGGCAGCAATGGTTTTAAACAGCAAATATATACAATATAGAAAGACTTTTGGACACGTACTAATGTTGCCAGTCAAATGTGTCAGTAAATTAAGTGACACCACTGATATCTCAGAGTATTAACTTTATATTAACATTAAATATTTGCACATATAATGTCATTCCATGTTGTAAATGGGGCTTTGTTAAAATCACTTGGTTTAGTTTGTTATTCACCATATTCATACTCCAAAAACTA